TGTGTGGTTGAAGAGGAATGAGATAACATTTCAGTAAAAGTCTTTAAATGTAGAGGAGGGTAGTCTTTGTTTGTGTGAAAACCAAGGTTCATGGAACTCAGTCCTTATCTGTATAATATGAGATTAACTTAGATCGGGGGCTCTCAAATTACTGTCATTTGAAGCATACAGTCCCACCATGACACTATGGTGGTCTATCTCAAAATAGGGGGGAGGCTTAGTGGATGGTCACCAGGTACCCCTTTCAGTTTCACCTAAAGCAGCTTCCTTTCAGCCTTCTGAATCATGTGTTAGAGGTATAGACTAGATATGTGTATTTCACTTATAAATAGAGCTCTTTTCTTTAGAGAAAATGAGAATTTTGGCTTACATTATTTCTGTTCTCTCTCCTACTCTCTTTCTTTCTTTTTTCTTTTGTTTTTTCTTTTGTTTTTGTTTTTGAGACAGGGTTTCCTGTGTGTCCCTGGCTGTCCTGAACTCCTTCTGTAGACCAGGCTGGTCTCAAACTCATAGTGATCCTCCTGCCTCTGCCTCCCAAGTGCTGGGATTAAAGGTGTGCGTCACCACCGCCTAGCTTCTTCTATTCTTAAAATGCCAATAATTACAATATCTGGATATTCAAGGAAGAAAGAAGATAAAATCACCATTGTTTCATGTATACAGCTAATGTCTCAATTATCAGGAGTACACCACACCTATAAGAGATTAAATCTATTATTTGTCGGCCCTTGTGGGATGCTATGTGCTTTTTGATTTTATTGGTTTTATTACATCGTGATTACTGTCCACAAACAAAGATACATGACTAAATTTGAAAATCAAACTTTTGAGACTTTGTATTATCCACTGTTCTTAGTAAAGGACAAGACAAACAAGTACATGTAGTAGGGCCTCTTCATGACTGACTACATACCGCACCTCACAGAGAAAGCTTCTGTCTAAACTCCAATATTCTTCTGCCCAAAGTGTTATCACAAATGCCGTTGTATCTTAAGTGTCTTCCTGCCCAGTATCACCTGCCCTATGTTAGGGAGGGAATGAAATGTTTTACACTAATAGATTAAAGGGAAAAAATTATATCTAAGTTGAACTTCAGCTTTTTTAAGAAGAATTAAGTTACCAACTAGGTGTCTTGGTCATGCTGCTTTATGAAGCCAGGAAAAAGGTAAATAAGATAAGACAGTGTCTAATTTCATTAAATAGCCAGTGACAAAGGAAGTGGTACAAAAACATCTTACCAAAACTGATGCCATGATGTGTAACCTAACAGAACATGAAGTGGAACCAAATGAAGCTAGAGTCTTCAGTTCCCATCTATGCTTTCCTGCTTTTTTCTAGGAGAGATTTCTCCTCCAAACACTATGTATCAGAATGAGTTAGCATCAGCTAATTTAAAAGCTGGTGCCAGTCCAAAAAAAGCACTCAGGCTGCCCCCCTTTTTCCCTAAATCCTTTTTGTTAAGGACTGTCGATAGACACTGTTCAGTCACAGCCGCTTCTCTGGCAGGTGGTTGTCATCAGATAATAAAGGAGACCGTGAGCTTAAGATTTCTTGTTAGGATGAGGGGCCAGTCCTAGACACACGAGTGGGAGAACACTGTGTTCCTCCCACCCTGTCTTACTGTGTTCTTCTAGCTCCCTTCTGTTGGCATTAGAGTATTGCTTCTCAGCCATGAGCAGGAGCTAGGTTTCTCCAGCACAGGCTCATAATCCCAGTTTTCATTCCCTTCAAAGGTTATCTGAACAATGCAATTTGGAAGTTTTAAGTTAACTTTCAAAGGAAGAGCAGCAGTTGTTAGAAAGATGGGGAAGTCTTGACTGTTGATATCAGAAGGTTCCTAAAGCAAGTCAGAGGAACGTAAATGCGTGCACTTTTCAAATATTATGTAACAGGGGGCTGGAGAGGTGGCTCAGAGGTTAAGAGCACTGACTGCTCTTCCAGAGATCCTGAGTTCAATTCCTGGCAACCACATGGTGGCTACAACCATCGGTATTAGAATTTGATGCCCTCTTCTGGCCTGCAGGTGTACATGCAGAGCACATAAAAATATATAAATAAAATTTAAAAAATAGAATCAATTTTTTAAAAAAAATTATATAACCAAGCCAGGCTGTGGTTATACCCACTTTTATCCCAGCACTCTGGTGGTAGACAGGCGTATTGCTTTGAGTTTTAAGCTAGCCTAATCTACAGAGGAAACCTTGTCTCACGTGTGTGTGTGTGTGTGTGTGTGTGTGCACATATATACACACACATATATTTAGCTATTATATATATATATGTATATATATTTTAATTTTTCTTTCTAGACATACACACACATACAAACACACAAACAGGCTTTTTCTTTTTGATCACCAATCAGCTCCCAAATCATGACACAGACACTTAATAATTTTGAATGTTTGGCCTAGCTTAGACTCATTTTTGATTAGTTCTTTTAACTTAAAATAACATGTTTCTCTTTATTTCTCCTTTGCCTTGGGACTTACTACCTTTCTTCCTTCTGTATATGTTACTTTCACTGCTTTTCTTGTCTGGTTGACTGGCAGCTGCCTAGTTTCTGGCCCTGGGCATCTCTCTCATTCTCTCCTCCTTCTGTTGTTCTTCCTGTTTCGAGCCTAGAGTCCTCCTCCTATTTATTCTCTCTCCCTGCCAGCTTTGCCTATCCCTCCCCCCCCCCTTATTTTGCTTAGCTATTGGCTATTCACCTCCTTATTCGACCAATCAGGTGTCTTAGGCAGGCAAGAGGAAACAAATGCATCACATCTTTTCACAATTAAATAAATACAGTACAAACAAAAGTAACACATCTTTAAATCATTATCAAAGACAGCAGAAACAAGTCTAACACATCTTCATGTAGTTAAGTAATATTCTGTAGCATGAACATCTTTGCCTAGTTAAAATAATATTCCGAGAGAGAGAGAGAGAGAGAGAGAAGAATATAATTAAGTACTGAGTGGTGCAAGTGAGTGTGTGCTATGCTAGATAGGTTATAAGTTATGAGAACAAGGCTCTCAGCTTGGCTTTAACACTACATAGGTTAGTTATGATTTTATATATTCACTGTGAGATTAAAGATGGCCTTCTGTATTTATTGTGAAAACAACAAAATTATTCATTATAGCAAGGTGCACTATTCACACTCGGTGGGGACAGTATCATGTTCCTTCACGTCTTTGGCCATCTTCTTCTGTATTTTCCTAGATTCATTCCTATTTTTTATATGCCTTTTTGCTAAGAAACCTGTAATGCCAATGAAAACTCTCTCCCAAAATGTGCTCTAAAGCAGTGCTATGCTGCTTTACCATTTATTCGCTTTATTGTGGGAGGCTGTGGCAGTAGAGCATCATTGCTTCTCAGATATGACCAGGAGCTAGGCTTCTGCAAAACAGGTTCCTGGTCCCATTCTCAAATCCATGATTCTCTAGTTGGACCAACTCAACTGGGCAGTTTGTGTACTCTCTGTTGGGCATCAGTTTTAGTCATCCGTAGTCACCTTAAGATCAGCTGGGCAGCTCTGCTTCTGGGCATTTCCTGGCTGCCTGTTGGAGCAGCCTTCGGGATGGCAGGAGTAGGAAGCATCCTGGGACATGAGTCTCATGTCATTAGCAGATTGTGTGGGGCTGGTTCACATGGTAATGCCAGTTCCATGTGAAAAATTACAAATCTGTAAAAACCCGTGAGAGAGGTTTTATGTGAAATTGGGTCAAACGGCTAGTCTAGAGTCAGAAAGTAGCTCCCTGTGCAATGGTAGAGGGGCTGGATAGCTGAGGACACTGGCCAATCCAGTTTGTTTCCATACATTGTTGCTAAGAAACGGAAATGTCAATGAAAATCTGCTTCCAAATTTACCCCCAAGCAGGACTTTTCTGCCTTATGTTTATTCACTTTTCAATTGGGGAGGCTTTTGGAGTCAAACTCGGTTCCTTTAGAGAATACAGAGCAGAAACGTCCTGTGAGTCTCCAGTGCAGCACTGCATCTTATGGGGACGGCCTTCCACCTCTGCAGCCTTCTTAGTGCCATCTCAAAGGGGCATTGCCATCCATTCTCACCTACCTGCTCCACAGTTCTGGGCCACAGCTGTGGGGTGTGACCTACACCAGGCTCACTTTTACTCCTTCCCGCTGCATCAAGTTTCGCACTTGCTAAAATGTTTGTGTCTGCCTTTCTGATATGTTTGTCGGGTCTCTTCCAGTATGCAGCACAGCCTCTAGTAAGGTAAACCAGGCGCAGTGTAAGTGCCAATGCCACTTCTAATGTGCACTGGTAAAGGTGATTCTTGACAGTTCCATCCAAGCTCTGACTCATCCCAACCTTCCTTAGGTTTGTGAAATCTGCTAAGATTGTAGCACAGTGTGGTGTAGCTGGAGGCAGAAATTTTGCTTGCCAAACGTATTTTCCTTTATAGCAAGTGCATAAATCAATGCACCGGGAGCTATGACTGTCTTCGTGCAGTGAGGTGCATTGCTCTCTTCAGCTGATTGCTTTCCCTTCTCCCATTCGGTTCTTGGAGACTGTGCCAAGCTCTTGGTCAGATAGACCTGTAATACCTCCCACTCTCAGTATAAAATGATAATTAATAATGCTGTGACTTTATAGTTGACATGGTGTTCTGCTTCCATTCATAGCACTCGCCATTTCAGGGTGTTGTGATTTCGTTATAAAAATTGACCTGGGGGATGGGACTTGGCTTGAGAACTTAAGAGAAAGTAGCTTGTACCTTAATTTTTTTTTAAAGTAATTTTGGGTTACTTGTCAGTTACGTAATGATTGGATCAAATGATTCAGATATCAGTAAGTTATTTTGGTGTCTAATTGAGCTGTTATGAGTCTTTCATCTGGCTTTGGGTTGACAGGGTTAAGAGTTAAGAGTACTTGCACAGTTGGAAGCAGAGGGCATAGACACTGTTTCTCGTACCTTGACAAGCCTTTGGTTTAAGAAGTAACCCATTTTTACATTGCATTTTCATGGGTGTTTATATTCTTATTGTAGGTCTGTTGGAAGAAACTCACAAAAAAGATGAAGAAATGGAAACTCTACAGGTAAATTCAATTCTCAGATAGGACAAGTATCATTGTGATAAAAACATTTGTTTTTCTCATCTGCTATCTCTTCTTATTACCATATTCAGACTGTTCCAGCACATGAGGTGACAAGTACCATATAGGAATATTAAAGTTGAAGTCTGAATTTGCTTCCCTTAGTTGTCTTTGAGAATGCTTACCATCAAAAAAGGCAAGCAGCTCAACCCCTAGGCTACTCTTGAAAAACTGGTATGCCTTGATGTGATATAATTGGTACCTTGGCATTCAGAGATGAACACAACATGCTCCCTGAAAGCAGAGCTGGCTAATGAGAATGCATTTTTATATTTTCAATTAAAAGTCAAACTAATTCTTCCTCAGTGGACATCATATACCAGTGATGAACTAGGAACACTACCACATCCATGGAAGGCAGGGTTTGCCTTGAATAGACTCCCACCTTGCCATGGGTGCATGCACATTTCTCAGACTGGAAAATTATGTTTGAAAGGTTTTGTTAGACTTCTAATGAAGAGTTCCATGGTCTAAGCAATTGCTGTTCCATCAGCATCTAAAAGAACTCCCTCCCTGCTTTCCCACAGGGCTGACTTACAAATGGGTAATCCACCTGTCTGTCTTCATTAGAGCAGATATAATCACCCTACTCACCTGACAGAAGGAGTTCGCTTAATGTCATGTTGGAGATTAAGCACTGTAAATACTTGGGGCATTTAGAGATCTTTGTGGGTCTTGAGCAGTAAAGCCAGACTGGAGGATAAATTAATGAGCTAGAGCGAGTGCTTTAGGGGTGAATATGTTTGCTTTTGGTAAATGAAGAATGGGTCAGGTTAACCACAGCAAGCAAGGGAAATGGTTTTTGGTTGGATTTTCTTCATTTGATGATGTTTCCATTAGCAGAAAACTGTATATGCTCGGTATAGAAAATGCTTGGTATAGTTCTGGACATGTAGTAAGTGTGACATTTGTTAGCTATGGATAGCTTTGTATAGATTAAGGGTTTTAAAAAATATCTTTGTCTATTAAATTGAGGTGTAAAAACTGAACAAACACGAAGCAAGGAAGAATATTCAGTATTTCCACTCCACTCACTCTGAAGTTAGTACCAGTGGTGCTTATTGCTATTATAGAAAGCACTGTGTTACAGTCACCACTTACCGCAGAATAGCATGTGTAAGCTTATCTATTAGATATACCTAGCCTTTTAAAATGGTAGCACAGGTCATTTATGCCTCTCCTAATATGAATGTTGTAGTTGTCTCCTTAAATGTAGTATCCTATGTTGCTCCTCAAATGTTTATTGATTATTGGTACTATTTTTACCAAAATGTCCACCACTGCAAAATGACAAACCAGCCAACTCTCCATGGGCACTTACAGATAAACATTGTACACCATGATATTCTGCAACAGGAGAGAAAAACATTGCCACCACTTTTCCTGGTGCTAATATCTGATACTACGTATTTCAGTAGAGGGAGATGACACCTCAAAATGAGAACAGTTCATAGGCACATTGCAGAGAAGACTTATTTAACTGGCAAAGAATAGAGGAAAAGCCCATGGAGCTGGTAATATATCCCTAAATTTCTGTGCTCCAGAAATTCATAGGTGAGAATCCAGAAAGGGCCACTTAAGTATGTAAGCTGAGTTCTTAACCCAGTACTTCTGTGGTAAGAAATGCTTTCCAAAGAACATTGACAGCAAAGAGTAGAAGTCAGGAGCTTGGGTTTTAATGCTTGGGTGTGCCCCTGAATATTTGGGTAATCTTGGGCAACTCCCTAAAGTGTTTAATTTAGTTTAGACCAGCCCAAAATAGTAACTTATTATCATCTTAAAAGGGTGTGTATACTTATGGGAAACAGTCTGTCTACATTTAATACTTTCCTAAGTATTGGTGAGTGTTCTCTGTCCTTAAACCTAATCAGTTTCTATACTGACTCACCGAGCAAATATTAACTGAACAAAAATATTGTACATGTCACTAGGGTACTAGGTAGTTAGATAAGGTAGTTAGGTACACGTGTCTGTACTGCAGATATATTCCTACCTTTAGTATCAGAAGTCATGGATCACCATTAAATGGATGCTCACAATGAAATATTGGAAAATGCTCTTAGAGGAAATGTATTGGTGTCGACATGTAGTAAGGATGCTAGTCCTTGTTTGTTGTCAGTAGGGCCGATGAACAGATGGAAAGCAGGTTGACCTGCCATGGGATGATGATCGGAGTGGGCTTCCCAAAGCCAGTGTGTAAGTGAATAATGTGAGTTATCTAGGCAAGCTTGGGAAGCTGGGAAAAGTTTAGGTGCTGGGGAAGCTGTGGTAGAAGAGCACACTCCCAGCTTTATGGAGCTGTTTGTAGTTCTTTGTGAAGGAGAGTCATGCATGACAGAGGAGAGGCAGACAGGAGTGCAGAGTAAACACAGGCCCAGTGACTTTGTACATATTTGGACTTTACATTTGATGTATGTAAAACCCGTGGAGGGTTTAAAGCATAGAAACAGTGTGATGGAATTTGTATCGTGAATGTATCTGATTGTAAAGTTGGAAATAACTGGGGGCAGGTTAAGACTGAATGCGAAGAGGGCACTCAAGCTAGCAGTTGTGAGTCTCTTGCCAAGGGACGGTGGTGCCTTACATTAGGTGACAGCAGCCAGTATGAGGAGGGGTAGGGACTTCTTATTGTATGTTGTGATTGAGAAAGGAGGGAGAGAGGAGGAAAGGAAAGAGAAGGAAGGAAATAAGGAAATGGAAGTAGAAAAATAAAAAATGGGTTAATCTTTAGGAAGTAAAAATATATTAAGCAAAGCTCTTGGCTTGCATGATGACACCCCTTCATGATGGTTATATTCATTAATAAGTGTCAGAGCCTGGTTGTTTTAGTTACTGATATGTTGAAATGTCCAGGGTAGGGCGTGTTTATGTGATGATCCCGGGCCTACAACTCAGAGGGGTTTGAAGTGGGCATGAAGAGTTGGATGTCACTGACACTGCTGTCCACAGCAGCTGGGTGATCTAACAGTCACAGAAATATGGCGAATGAGAAAAAATGAAAGCCTAGGCTGGATCACAGGGAATACCAATATTTACATCACAGATAAAGACAAAAACCTATTAAGTTGTCAAAGACGTAAAGTAGAAAACTTCAAAAGAACACAGTATCATGCAGCTTACTGTCTGTGTTTTTTTCATATCAAGGGGAAGTAGATAAGAGAACTGAATAAATATTTGTTGTATCTATGATTCTTTTTAGCTCTGTGAACGAAAATTTACTCCCCTTTAATCCTGTTATGCCTGTTGTATAACTCTCCTGCATTTCATTTTCTAAGTATGTAATGGTGAGCACGGGCCTGGCCATAGTGTGTTCCTGGTAAGTTTCTACAGCCTGAGCAGATGAGCAGCCCCCACTCACCTCCTCAAGGCCCACCCACTGGAAAATTACCCTCACCCTGTCATTGTTCATTTAAAAACTTTAACGAGGACACTCAGTTTCTTCCCTCACTCCTCTTCCATCTGCTTCTTGCTTTCTCTCTTCCCTCCTTACCCTGTCTGCCGTCCCCTCCTCCTATTCTGCCCTTCTTCTCCTTTAGCTGCACTCAGTGCGTCCTTGGAAGTGTATGAAGAGACACCAGACAAGGATAAAATGGCAGGAGGAGAATACTACCTGTCAGTCTTCCAAAGAATCACAAACGGTGGAGATAATGGGTGACAGCCAGATGTTTCCAATGTAGTTTGTAATTACCAAAAATTTGTCACTGGCGCTTCATATTGCCTGGCTTCCTTTTGTGACATTCATTTGCAGTTACATGCGTGTTGTTCTTCCTAAAGCCAAGTATGGTGTGTGGTGCAATATCACAGTCCTATTACATGTGGTGTTGAGATACATAGAAGGAAACGGAGCTCATCCTCAATCTCAATACTGGTAGAAACCCAAATGTAATCATTTTTCATTAATTTATTGAAATGTGTGCCCTGGCTTGGCATCTTGCTGGTGATGGCTGGTTTTGTTTTATTTACTCAGGTATCAACCTATATGACTCATTTCTCAATGACTTATATTTTTTCCTTTATGTTGCTATACAAACCCCACAATACAAAAGTACACTTGATTAAGAAAGCACCACAGGGCTCTCAGAAAAATGCTGTGGAATGCATGTAGAAGCTGGCTGCCTTGGTGGTATACCCCAGTATTGGGAGGCAGGCAGGCGGATCCTTGTCTGCCCAGCGTGCTAGCCTTCTTGGTGAATTCAGACAAGTAAGAGATTCTGCATCAATAAATAAATAATAAATAATAAGTAAAATGTGAGCAGCTTCTGAGGAAATGCACTTGATGTTGTCCTCTGGCCTCCATGTGCACACATGTGAGCCTGCACACACATTGGAAACACACTCACACAAGTAGCAGCTCAGAGTGCTAGCAAGGAGCCACAAGCAGAGAACCCAACAACTCTTAGGCCCCTCCTCATTTGCTCATTTACAGTCATCTTTCTTTCCATTTTATTTGAAATGGGTTAAAGTTTAGATGAAGTGAGTTTCCTTTTTATTTTCCCTCATGTTTTGGGGTGGCATTACATATCTTCTGAATTAGGAGTGCAGGGAGTTCTAACTTCTGCACTCCAGGCAGAAGGGGACCTTGTTGCCCGGCAGGTCCTCACTGAGTTTGAATTCTACATGTTCAGTGTGTTCTTGTACCTGATGCATGGCAGATGTGGTGCCTTGATCTGAGATACAGCATCAAAGTACCCAAATGAAGTTCTTGTCCAAGTGGAATCCCTCGTACACTGCCCCCCTATCTCCTCCCCTTTCTCTTCTTTCTCCCTCTTTCCTCCTCTCTTCTATTCCTCCAGCTCTCTTTTCTTTGCTGTCATTTGTCTTCCATGAACAGTCTTGTAATTGAAATTTGTATTAGGAGAGAGCATGCTGAAGGAAGTAAGGTATTTGGCTATTTATGAAATCAAAGAAGAATCAAAAAACAGGCATAAAGGATAGGGTTGATT